ATCATTGGAATTAACTAAATTAATTATATCCACAATTATTTACTTCCTTTTTTCATGTGTTTTCGTGTTTATAAATTTTTAAATTTAACGAACTAATTATTCAAATTATTGTAGACAAAAATGCAGCCATGCGCCACAACCACATGTTTTTCGTGTTTGCAAATTCTTGCTGGCAAAATTTTTTCCAGCAAGAATTTGCAACTTCTCTCCAACAGAACTGTCACTTTGCTCTCACAATTTTTGAGTGTTGGATAATTTTTTGGTCTGCACGAACGCGATTTGGGCAAAAATCGTGATAATTCGTACAAATCCGTACAAATTTTTTGCTCGACGAACAAACCTATTATCATATGCTACGAAATAGTTTTTCGCATTTTCTGAAGAACGTGTTCTTTTGAGTTGTGTCACTTTTGAAGATGGTGTGTGATATGTCGGGCGTAGGTCACAATGGTCCATTGGATGTTTTGTATATAAAATATCCAGCAATCTTGTGCAATTTGACATTATATTAGTCTGTTCCAATAGGGGTATTCTCGGAGTCTTGCACGATGCACGGATTGCTCGAAATGCAAAAATACTATTCCAGATATGGAAGAGTACGAATGTACCTCATTGCAAAGTAGTAGCATGCATAGGTAGCAACCAGCGAAATTCTGTATAAAATACAATAACAAAATACAACAAAAAAAATGAAGTGAGCGAGATGATGTAAAGAATATGTAATAGGAAATTTAGATGAGGCGATTTTTCAGGCAACTTTTAGTTGAAAGCAACAATCACCTTGGTTTTTCCCATGTATGTATTTTGTTGTTGTGCTTTTGCAATTATGCAATCCGTGCTACGCGCAAGGGATATGCCAAATTTCGAGAATACCCCTAATAGCAATCCGGTATACAGGACTTAGTCAGAATTTACAGGAAGTCGTTCCTATAGATATAAAACCTGTAAGTGGGAACACGTTTAAGTGAGTAACTGAGCAACTGTTCCTAGTCAGAAGTAGCAGGATTTAGTTTTTCTTCTCGCAAGTTCAAAAAAAGTGTCAGATTCTAAGCAGGGTTGCATTTGTAAACGAAAGCAGAAAGCGTTGAAAGCAAAGAACCTTATATTTGTCAAAATGTGGAAGTTAACAATGAAGTATTTGAATATGTATAGATTTTAATAAAACCCAGTATACTTCGGGCAAAATCTGTGGAACTGCCAAACTACAACGTTACTCTCTCAAGTGGGAATAAAATGAGAACAGATGCAGAAGTGTACGGGAACAAAAAAAAGCACTATTTCTTGCATAAACGTCAGTCGCATTGTTTACATGTCATTGGCACTTTTATTTTGTTTACAATTTGGTTGTCAAACACACTACAGCTGATCATTTGACACCTTAAGTCTGTTCCTTTGAACTTCGGACTAACACCTGTGGAACTGTCAAACAATTTTACTCTCTTAAATGAGTAAAAGGAGAACCGACGCAGAAGTACATAGGAACGCAAAAAGCACTATTTCCAGTAAAAACGTCAGTCGGTTTGTTTACATGTCATTTGTACAACACTGATTTAGCTGAAATATCACTAAATAATTATTAAAATCTATACATATTCAAACATTTCGTTGTTTAATTCCATTTTTTTTTACAAATATAAGCTATTTTGCTTTCACCGCTGTTTATTTTTGCGTGCACATGCAAATCAGCTGATCGTTTGACACTTTTCATGAACTTACAGGAAAAAAAACTCCGGACTAAATCCTGTAACTTCTGACTAGGAACAGTTGCTCAGTTACTCTCTCAAATGTGTTCCCACTTACAGGTTTTATGTCAATAGGAACGACTTCCTGTAAGTTCTGACTAAATCCTGTAAACCGGACTGCTATTGGAACAGACTTACTGGAAAAGCGTTCGCGTACTTTATTGCAAATTTTTTCTATGAGAGCGAATTCTTAGAAATAAAGGTACTGGAGAGTTGCTGGCAAGTTACTGGATAATTTGTAAAAAAACACAACTAATATCTAACGCGAACTAGGTACATATCTGTGTTCGTATGGAATAGTAGCTTATGTCGAAAGGCTGGCTTTAGTATAATGCGGCATTCGCAGCATACTTTACCGAATGACTCACTGGCAAATAAACGTGCAAGAAATAGTTCCGATATTAGCAAGTCAATATTCTTATTAGGTCTCATCAAAAAATTCCTTGTCGTTTAAAGAATAAAGGGAATGCCGCATTATACTAAAGCGAGCTTCCCGACATAAGCTACTATTTTATACGAACATCTGTAGTTATGTACTCACATATGTACATATACACATAAGCTGTTTCTGCCTCTGTGCCCGAATATGTACTTTGGACTCTGCTCTTGTTGATTGTTTGTTCGCCCCATCCGATTTTGCATTTATTAAGCGATTGTGTTACGGAGTAGTCGAAATAATTCTGTGGTGACTTTAACAACTTTAAAAGTACAAAATGATTAACACCGGAAAATTAGCTGGACGTACCCTTTTTATAACCGGTAATGGACTATTGTAATTATTCAATGAAAATTTGCTTCTAACAAAAGTGTGTCAACTTTCTTTTTGGTACTTCATTACGTATATATGTAGGTGCGTCGCGAGGCATCGGAAAAGCAATTGCATTAAAGGCTGCTCGCGATGGCGCAAATATTATTGTTGCTGCGAAAACCAGTACTCCCCATCCTAAATTGCCTGGAACAATTTACACTGCGGCTGAAGAGATTGAAAAGGCCGGTGGACGGGCGCATCCATGCATAGTAGATGTGCGCGACGAACAACAGGTGCGTTCAGCCGTTCAGGATGCTGTTGCGAAGTTCGGCGGTATCGATATATTGATAAATAATGCATCTGCCATATCTCTGACCGGCACACTGGATACAGATATGAAACGTTATGATCTGATGCATAATATAAATACACGTGGCACATTCCTCGTTTCGAAAGAGTGTTTACCGTACATAATTAAAAGTAATCATGCTCATATCTTAAATATTTCGCCGCCGCTTAATTTGAATCCTATCTGGTTTGCTCCACATGTCGCTTATACAATTGCCAAGTATGGTATGTCGATGTGTGTTTTGGGTATGGCTGAAGAATTCCGCTCTTCTAAAGTGGCGGTGAATGCTTTGTGGCCACGCACCGCAATACAAACTGCGGCCATGGAAATGTTAGCCGGTGCAGAAAGTTCCAATATCTCGCGTAAAGTAGATATAATGGCAGATGCCGCATATGCTGTTTTAATACGTGAGCCAACTCAATGCACAGGACGTTTCCTAATCGACGATGAAGTTCTAACAGAGGCTGGTGTGACTGACTTGAAACAGTATGCATGCAATCCGGAATACGCAGACAAACTTATGCCTGACTTCTTTTTGGATATATCAGAGAATGAACTCAATGCTGCAAAAGAACAGTTTAAACAACAAACGACTGTTGCAGCTTCTTCCGGACAAATACCGGCGTTATTTGTTAAAATTGAAACATTACTTTCGCCAGAACTAGTACAAAAAACGCAGGCTGTTTTCCAATTCAATATTGAAGGCGATGAGAAAGGCACTTGGCATTTAGATTTGAAAAACGGACCTGGTTCATGCGGCATTGGTGAGCCAAAGGTGTCACCTGACGCAACACTGACCATGAAAGCGAATAACTTCCACGATATGTTTTCGGGAAAACTTAAGGCTGCAACTGCATTTATGACAGGCAAATTAAAAATTTCAGGCGATTTGAATAAGGCAATGAAGCTGGAAAAACTAATGCGCTCACTCAAGTCGAAATTATAGACCGTTAAATAATATTCCATACTGTGTTGTTTTTTAATATTAAGATTTTTTTATATATAAAATATAGAAGATATGTATTATGATAAAAAAGCGTTTCAATTGATTCTTATGTATATAAGCCTGCTCCAGGTATATACTTCCAGAATTGCAGGAGTTTACAGGAAGCTGTTCCCGTAAGCTTCTTACATAAGTTTTATTAAAGGCGAATGTAGCTTTTCGTGTAAATCTTGCAAAATCTGGAACAGGCTTATGAATATACCGATGGCCCTCTGCAATAACGACGTTACTGAAAACTAAAAAAACATTTACTACTGAAAAGTGGCACATGTCTGTAATCCCTGCCTTACCCTTACTAAATCTTAATAAAGCAGCGATAAAGAGTTAGGAAGAATTAGATATGGATTAGAGACGTGGACTGTTCTGTAGTATGCGGTTTTGACTTGTGTCGTTATTGCAGAGAACCATCGAAATGTAGGAACATTCATATGCAAGAAAAAGGTCATTGGCAGAATCCATGTAGTTCTAGGTGATACGTTGGCAGTTTAAATGTTACTCACCTTTTGATCAGAAATCACTTATTACATTACTTTATTAAAAATTACGCAGGATACAAATTCATGATGAAATCTGCACTTGTGTGTTTTTTGGAACAACCGTTTTCATCTGAGAGACGATTTTATCTGCATCAACAAGTAGTAAACAAATGTTCTCTTCATTTTACAACACTAGCCAATTAGCCCTTCTTCTTCTTCTGCAGCTGCAGTTCAGTTCACATTTGTTAATGCCGCTAAATTTTTCCTTGATGTATTTGATAAGAATTGCTGAGCTCGCAAAAAATATAAAATAATCAACGAAATGAATAAATTAGAGGACGATACTATCCCCAGCAGTTGCAACTTCCTGAAAGATCCACTATCTATTGGGTAAGTTGCTATATATACCCTAGTATTCCAAAAACTATTGGCTTTTCTGTTATCCCAGGGATCTCATAGGACCTGGTACAACTTTTGAGATAAACACGAATTTCGATGAAGGTTTCAGCAATGATATATTTGATGAATTAAATTTGGGTTCCGACGAGGAAGACGATGACAAGACAGCCACAGATCGCTCAGCCTTGGTATCACCATGGACAAAACCTTTCGACGAGTTACGACTGCAGATGGTAAAGATAAATGAACACATTTATAAAAAAATCACGCAGCCCGGGTTGACTGAATACGGTGAAGTTCCGTTAAATGCGCGCGTATGTATACGCTACAATGCTTATTGGGAGGGAGAGGGTGCACCTTTTGATTCGTCCTTTCTACGTGGCTCGTCGTATCACTTCTATACCGGACGAAATGAAGTGATTGAAGGCTTGGAGGCGGCGGTACGAACAATGTATCGTGGGGAACAAGCACAATTCGTGATTTCATATCAGTTATTGTTTCGCGAAATAGGATGTCCACCACGCGTTAAACCACGTGCTGATGGGCTTTTTATAATCGAATTGGTTTCATTCAATCCTGTGGGAGATTTGGATGCCGACCAAAAGTTGACGGATGAAGAACGTGGCAAATATGCAACAGTAATCGATAAAATACGAGATGTGCATCTTAAAGGATTAGATTTCTTTGGACAAGGATTACATAAGAATGCTTGTCGAGCTTTTGAAAAGGCTGTAAGCATGTTGAACAGTTGCCACTTGGCCAATGAACAAGAACAGCGCGAGCAAACAGTATTTCTGCTAAAACTATATACGAATTTAGCAGTATGCTATAATAAGGTCAACTTGCCCGCAAAGGCTTGCATTATGTGCAAAGAAATACGCCAGCTGACAGACAATAAACCCTCTTGTAAAGCGTTGTTTCAGGAGGGACGCGCGCTGCTGCTGTTGGGTGAGTGAAACATAGATTGCACATACATATGTATGTAGTTGCATAAAACGAAGTTAAAACTAAAACTTTTTAATAAACTTTTGGTGCACAGGTGAGTATGAACGCGCACGCCACATACTTATACGCTCACAGCGCATGGAGCCACAAAATGATGATATAAGTAAAGAGCTGAAGCTGCTGGAACAACGTTATTCACGTTACAAAGAAAATGAACGTAGCATTTGGACGAAAGCCATGGGCATAATAAAGAAAAATGAAAGCAATCAAACGAATAGCAATAACGAAAAGACGCGTAGCATTTTTGAAAAAGAAATGGAGGAACTCATGAAGGACTTTAAGGAGAGTATGGAATTGAATAATTTCAATTTGCCACCCGGCTTAACTAAAGATGAAATCAAAACAGTTGATGATTTGGCGCAGAGCATGGAGTTGAAGTTAACACTCTCACCACTTGACAATACCACCTATACATTAAGTAAAGGGACCAAAAAATAATTTTCATTGCAAAAAAAAAATCAAATAAAGTAAATATAAGTAAAAAAATATTTATATACAGTATCGGTCATATCTATAGCACGCCATTTCAAAGTGATATTGTGTGCCACTTATGTTTATTTATTTATTTTTAAGAATTTTCAATTAAAATACAGTTCTTTCTCTAACAAACCCCATATAAACCCAAGTTCAACAATTTGTAGAAAACTTCAAAAAAGCGCAACAAAATTTCACCTAAATTTCAAACTTTTTTCTCGGAAGTGTTAGAATTTTTTTGAGTACACAGTTTTTTATCCCCTGCAATTTTAGTCTGATAATGTGCAAATTTCAAGTGGCTACGAATTACCGTTAATTTTTTAGAATTTTTGTTGTCGCATTGGCTTCCATATAATGAATAAACTCAATTTATTTGTATATGGAAGAAATCCGCAACACCTTTGGCGAAAAAAATTCTAAAAAATCAACGGTAACTTTTAGCAACTTGAAACTTGCACATTATCAGACTAAAATTGGTTGGGCTATAAAACTGTGTATTCAGAAAAATTCAAACACTTCTGAGAAAAAGTTTGAAATTTAGGTGAAAATACGGTTGCACTTTTTGAAGTTTTCTACAAATTGTTAAACTTGTTTTTACATGGGGTTTGTTAGAGAAAGAACTGTATTTTAATTGAAAATTCTCAAAAATAAATAAATAAACATATATAAACAAATGGCGTGCTATAGATATGACCGATACTGTACATATCAAACGTTAAAGTGTATTATAAACATACATATGTATGTTTCTATAAGAAGTACATATGCACCTAAGGAAATTTCCCTAAAAAATTATTAATGTGTTATCGAAACGCATACATGAATGAATTTTTTATGTTATTTACTGTAGTTTTGATGGTAAGTCGCCAAATTAATTACAGCAGAAAAACTAAGTGGATACATCAAAACAAATACTAAAGAAAATACATTTAACTACTTAATAAATATAAATGATGCAATTAAATAAATAAAACAAAAATAAAAATAAAAATCAATCGACTGTTTTAACAAAAATACGAAGGATAATCGCTCGTTTTAATGATCTTTTAAAAGCTACCTTGTCATTAACCGAAAAAGTAGTTGTGATGAGTTTAATGATAGGCGATTGCTCATGAATTATTAAAACAAAGGATGCTCAGTTACATAAATATTTTATAGAGCGTTACGATGTTAGTTTTTAAATATGTATGCCTAATAAATGTAAATGACCAACAAACGTGTATTTGAATTTATTGGCCAATCTTCCCTTATTGACATTAAAACGCAAAGATTTCTTTTTATTTTTAGTTAAAACGCATAAATTTATTTCATTATTTATGTATAATTCATAAATAATACTCATACGGTTACTTAAAGTGTATTTTTCCTCAAGTTTGATTAATTTTTTATTTTTTTTTAGTTTATGCAATATGTATGTATGTTATAAGTATTTGTGTACACACAAGCCTTTTTGGGTATTTGTTTTATAACTAAACTTTTGTTTGCTTCTCGTCATTAGCTCATTGGTTTTAGATTATTGCTTAACTTAGCATACATACATATTTAGTGCCCGACATTATGATAAGGTCACAAGTTTTGACTACTGATTTTTTATTACTTTATTTTGATACTTTTTTTGTTTTTAGAAAAGTGTTGTGCTTTCTATAACAAAAACCATATATAGATCCAAAAAAAAAAAAACTTGTCAATATCCATAGGGTGACCTTATCATTATGCCCGGCACCGTATTTAATTTATTTCGCTTATATTGTATATAATTATTTTTCTAGTTATGCACGCACACATATTTTGTTTGCTTGTTTCTTCGAATGAATTATATAAGATGCTTGTTTTGTTTTGTGCTTCGCATTTTTGCATTTTTTAAAAATCAATAACTTATCATGCACTTAAAACGCAAAAAAGGAAAAGAAAAAAATTGTTAAAAATATAAAATCATCACATACATATGAACCGAGCGAAATCCAAAGTTTTTTTTTTGTTTCTTTTTCATTTCATTGTTTTATATTTTATTAATTTAACAAAATGTTCGTTTTTGTATGCGTTGTTTTTTTTCTGCTTTCTCGTTACTTTCAATTAATGTATTATTTGGCCAATTGTTTTTCGATTTCTGTTTTCTGTATATTCAATATTTTATCATTCCTTTGTGAAATTTTTCGTATTCAAACATATAAAACTACTAAGTATATTTGTTTATAAATTGCTTGTCTTTTGAGCAATTTAATAGTATTTTACACCAACACATATTATATTAATTTTTAGTTAATTTATATTTTTTTCGTAACGTTTAAAATTCTTGTTTGCAATTTATTTGTTACTCATTTTATTTTCCATATTCTCAACTTATTTTGGTTTCATTTATTTCGTTTATGCATTTGAGAACTTATTCACCCGAGGCTAACTAACCATCGACGCTCAAATAACAACCGCTTTGGATCCAGACGCTCATTTGCATGAAAATCAGACAATATACATAAGTAAATTTGCTTCAAGATAATTAAAAAAAAAAAACATTAACTTTTGTAGTGAACTGTTTTGTAGATAAAGAATTTCGGATTACATATTTAATCGGATTATGGAAATAAAACGTAGTCTTACTTTTTTGTTAAGCTCGCAAAGGTACGCAAATACATAAATATGGCAAAAAATGAATTAAAATTCCGAAATACTCACATATGCAGCACGTTTTTAGTAAATTTCTTCTTCTTTATTTAGCCACCGATTTTTGAAAAAAAATCTTTTGATTCTACCAAGCGCGCAGAAGTATGTTAACAAGGGACTGTGTACATTTTATGTGAAATAGATAGAGCAATTAATACGCGCACGTGCTGCCAGATTAACGTTGTTCAACATTATTCATAAAAAAAAACTAATAATAACTTTGCTTGTTGTAATAACTGATTTAGATTTTGAAGTTTTTGCGTTTAAAAATTTTAATTCTTTGTAATTGATTGTTCATGAAAATTATTTAATTTTTTATTAATACTTAGTTTTAAGGTTTTTGATTAATTTCAATTGACACATGCCTTTTTGATTTGATTGTAGGTTTTTATATTATATGTATTACATATATTATCTCATATTATATATTATTTTTATATTATACATATTATATGTAGTATATTCTACGTGAAAAATTTTTGAGTTTGAATGTGAATTCGATATTGATACATACTATTTATTTTTTATATATGTATTTTTGTGATATTTTATCTATTCATATTACATGATGTTCACACATAAAATTTACTTTTGTTTACGTATGTACTTTATATTTTTTACTAACTGACTTAAAAAAAAACGAGGAAGGTTATCAACTCGTCGGAGTATTTTTTCTTCTTTTATGTATATTACCGGATAACTTTAGACCGCGTGAACCGTTTTGGATATTTTTTTTATCGTAAGGTTAGGGTAATCCAAAGTTGATTTAGCTCTGATCATTGGATCATGAAGAAACGAAGGGTACTTCAAACATTTAATTTTTATGAGCATATAAACGATACTCTTTTTAATTACTTGTTTCATATATTTTTCTGAACTTTTTATTTAATAATATACATCTTTATTTTAATTATAATGTACCGCTATTTATTTTGCAATTCATCGGTCAAAATGTTTTTTTTGTTTATTGGGTACAGTAATAAGTTTATATTCATAAAAATTAAAATATTTTTGAAACACGCTATAAATGAAATAATTTCATGTATGAAATTATCACTTTTTATAATGCAGCATTTCATACCCGTTACACTTTTTTATGAATATGGCCATATGCATTTAAAAATTTCTTGTTCAATTAAATTTAAATTATTAATTCATTTAAAAAACAAAGCATATAAAATTTGTGTGTGCTTATTTTGTTCCAATTGAAATTTTTTATAGTCAAACATATGAATTGTTATTATTACATACATACTTGTCTAATTAATTTCTATTATAAATTTTAGTACAACTACGATTTTTACTTACATTAGTTAACAGCCATTTATAGTAGTTCATTAAGGTTTAATTTATTTTCGTTAATTTTCGTAAGAAATAGTTCAACGTAGAAATGATATACATATTTACGTAAAAGCAAATATTTGTTTTTCAACAATTTATTTGAATAATCCGCCACAAGCTCAAACAAAATTGCCGATTTAGAAAAATTTATAAAAAAATATTGTTAAATTGAAATCTTTAAATCACTAAAGCGAAAAACGGGGAAACTTTAAACTCGAAAGTATTTTAATACAACAAAAAAATTTACGCAACCTTAGTGGCTACCGCGGCTTTATCCAGTTTAAGAAAATAAATATCGCTTTTGATTTTCGAAAGTAATTTGGAAGACTTTGACAGTGTAAATATGTATACATATCACGATGGCTAAAAAGCTGCTGTAATTTTCTATAGTTACACATTAATAAAACCAATTAAATGAAGAAGAAAAATTATGTGGGTTTCAAAACATGCGTAACCTCAAAAATTTTTTAATATTTTAACTTTTAATAAATTACAACTATTGTAAAAGAAGAAAAAAACTATGTTTAAAGACAGGGAAATAAATAAGATAAAATTGAAAACAATAAAATTTCACAAATAAAGATATAATAAATAAATAAAATACAACAAAATTAAATACAAAATAAACATTTTAGTTGTTATACAACACCACCAATAATTATTGCAAAACCAAATATTTAAGGCTGGAATAGATACAATTCCTATGTACAATTTTGAGATCTGTAAAGAAAAACTATAAGCAAATTGTTACCAAAAAAGTTGCATAAAATAAAAGTTTTTTTACACTTACTTCATTTAAACTTTGTATCCACTCGAAATCTGATAAAAATTATATTTAAAAATTACGGCATCTCAAATGGGGTTTTAACTTAACGATTATTATTTTTTTTTTTTAATTTTTATCGCCTACACATACTACACTTTACAAAACTGCGGCACATTTTCAATTTGTTATTATTATAATCATTTATCTTTTACTAATTACACACTAGCACAACATTTAGG